AATATTGTGAAGTCTTGTAAGAACTCTGCAAGAACAATAAACAAATCATACCAATGATTTATTGTGCAGGAACATGCTAAATAAGATTAAAGAACAGTAACTCACCAAGCTCGACTTCACTTTCTTCACGAAATCGCTGTTCTTAAAGCCCTCAAACATCTCAAACTCCCTCAATCTCGTCTTCAATGCTTGGATTGGCTCCCAAACCCTAACATCTTTCCCTTCCTCGCTCTCATTCTCTCCCCAAAACTCCCCAAACCTCACTCTATTCCATTTCCTCAATCCATTTCCATCTTCAACCTCCGACACAATTGCGTTCTTAATAGAAGACAAATTAATCCGAATTCTCGTCCTCGGCTTCAATTTCTCCAGCATTTTTTTGCTAAAGCTCGGCGAGGCATAGACCCTGCGATCCGCCGATATCTTCAGCTGCAAATTCTTCACAAACTCAATCTCAGCAGGAGGAGAGGATCCCGAACCAATTGCAGGAACATAGAAAGTAGTAGCCGAGTTAAAGAAATTCTCGATTTCACGGTCGAACGAGGTCGCCAAATTCTTGAAGGAGTTGGCTCTGGCCTTAATCAAGCGAAGATCCGCATCCGCTGAATCACGAACCTCCCTCCATCCTTTGGAAATGAAAGAGAACGCATCGGAAGAATTAGCGTGACCGACCATCGCGGACTCCGATTCAAGCCAATCAAGCTTCGAACAAGGCATTCCGTGGAGTTGAAAGAACCATGCAAAAACCAGAGTATTACATGGAATTTGGAATTGACTGTTCAGATTTCTTGATGAGCCCACCTGAAAGGAGACGAGAGACAGGGAGAATGAGGCGGTCAGGTGGGACCTTTATTAATTAATAATGAATTGTTATTAATTATTATTTTTAATTAAATTATTGTTTCTTATTTCATCTGTTCACACACAACCTCTTTAATCTCTCTTTAATTATTTTTAAATACTATTTAGGGACCAAACAGAGATAGCGTGACTTCAAGTAAAATTAGATATAAATAAAGAAATTACTCGGTCAAAAGCCACAAAGTTTATATTAGCCCGAGCTAAGCTTAGGTTGAACACACGTTCCACACCTAAAGTCCAATCAAGCGTGGGGTCTTGATTCAACATTGTCTCTAATCCTATTCGGAAAGAAGGAAAGAAATTATAGGTCAATCCTCATATAAATAAATTATCATTACGGTAATATTGGTAGTATTGGCACCGAGACTTTTATGTACAACCTTTTTATTTTATTGGAGTATTATTTTTTAATACTATTATAAAATTTTGTGTCAATAATAACAATTATTACATTACATAAAGAATTTGGGTATTTAAAAAAAAAACACCTAAACNTCCATACTTTTTTTTTTTTTTTTTTTAATATGTTAATATGTAGGCTTTAAAATTTGAAAATTAAATCAATTATTTTAATAATGGAATTACTATTCTTGAAAATATGTGAAATTAAGCCCCTAAGCATATATATATTATTATTAATTATTTTACTTTTTTATTTTTTTCAGCTTTAATATTAATTTTATCTATAAGGAACATTTTTTAAATCTAAAAATGAATACCATGAGATAATTCTTCAGTTTATTTATTTATTTATTTTTCCATTATTCTTACCAAAATTCAAAATAAATATTTTGGAAAACCATTTAAAAAGTTGACTTGTACTTCAAAAATTTTATATAATGAATTAATATAACAAATTTTCTTCAAAACTCAAATAGTTAACAAAGAAAATTAAAATTATAATTAAACAAGTCATTTATTGCTTACTATATTAGCATTTTTACAAGTAATAATGACCAAACACTACCAAATTTAAAATATTCTAAAAAAGCATTAACAATAACGGTAAAATCACTTGCGAAATTAAAAAATGGAAACACCTGAGGAGAGAATTGCTATTATTTTTAATTAAAAAATAAAGAGTTACTAAACAATATAATATAAAGTTCTATAGATATATTTGCCTGTTCGATTCCTGGAGAAAATCAGTAAGAAATACACTTATAAGATTACACGTCAATGAAGAGAACTAACTAATACCCTCCAAGAACACAAAAACAAAAACAAAAACAAAAACAAAAAGGTCTTACTACCGTTTCAAAAAGAGTGCCATTTCTGCTCTTAATTTAATCTCTTCCCATCTCATTTGATCTGATCGGTTCGTTTAAACAAGCAGAACAGCATTTATACAGCCATCATTCTCAGGATTATTGGTCACCTGAGCATACTTCCCTGAAGAAACCACAACCAAAATAATGTCAATGATTTGCATCATTACATAATAAGCTTCATCCCAGATGAAAATCAGGGAAGAATCCCAATGGGAACTGTTCAAAACTACAAAACAAGGAAGAAAATCATTACCCCATACTACTTTCCCAGCTGGTGTGACCAAACCCAATTCACTGACATTCACCTAATTAACAATTAAAGGGAAGACATAAGTGAGTGACTAATCAGAAACAGAAGTGCACGGTGATGAGGTTGAGCGTTATGAGCACGATACCTCAATAATGGCTCCCTTGGTCATGACACCAAGAGATGTATACATGGGACCGTTTGGATTTTTCTTCACTCCAATGATCTCAAGATTGAATGTGCATTTAAGTTCAGGATGTGTTACATGTGCTTTTGTAAATCGAAGCCCTGATGGTCGGATGAATCGCTCGTACTTCGGAGGTTTTCGTGTAAAACTTGCCCCAACAAATGTAGCTTTTGTGACCATCCTCTTCCATTGTTTTGCTGTAAACATGACATGGATTAATGAGTTCGATTTGATAGTTCGTAGATCGTAACGGCATAAATTTCGAGAAAATAAATACTGATAGAAGCCGATATGAGTACTTACTTTTCCTTTTACCAGTTCTTATCACTTTAAACATCTCATCCTCAGCAACAGGCCTGACCTAAATAAAAATCCAGGACAAATAATGCATCATCAGCCCCAAAAGATAGCAACAGCTAGATGGGCATGGTATTTTCTAAAACTAAAGATACATAATACAAAGCCATAAACAGCCCTTACCTTGGGCAGGGGGACTTCCCACTTTCCAGCTTTTTCTTTCCTCTTTTGCTTAATTGTGTTGCTAAGAACCTATTTTACAGCAGACGGTCAGATCAAAACAAATGAATGCAAAAAACTACATGCCTGAAGTTCAAAAAAGAGTTCGAATATTGCATACTTTCGCTCGAGCTGTATTTTCACGATCCAAAAGATAGGCAGGAACAGCACCTTCTTGAACATCATCATCGACCTTGCGTCTACTTGAAGACTCCTCATGCATAGCCAATCTGTTGAAACAAACATACGGCATTTGTCAATCTAACCCTCATTTCATTTCACCAAACAAGCATTAATGAAATTATTGCAGCTCTAATCAAGTGTGTGCCACTTCATTTATCTAAACTATTGCAGCTCTAATCTACCATAGCAAATACCAAATGCTCCATAAGATATTGAACAATTATCGAAACTACAACTCCAGCCTATTATAGCAAATCCCAAATGCACTATAAAGCATTGACAGAAGGATAAACATTAAACCATAAAAAGTCCATTAAAACACAAAAGATAGAACAAGTTTCAATCAAAGGCATCAACGCCGTAACATAATTTCAAAAGAATGAACAAAAGATACTCACGTTTTCTTCATCAAAGCCTTCTCCGCATATCGTTTCTTCGCGAACATCTTACCCTTAATACCCAGAGCCTGCAAGATTCAAATTCGATCAGAAAGGAAACGGCATAATCAACCAAATCGAACACTCAAAAAGAAGAGGAAACTAACAGAAGTAACTGAAACCAACCTTCTGAGCCATGGCAGATCGTTTGTGAACTTCACGAGCCTCCTTCTTGCGCTTCCGCTCAAAGTGGTCATGGCGGTAGCCATGTCGCTTCCTATGAAGCTCAATGTAATCTCCCTGCGGCTGTTAAACCACAAACGAAAAACCAACAAGATTAAACGACAAAAATCTGGAACCATATAAACATTAAGTTAATGAGCTGGAGAGCAGCAGACCATGGCGAAAAGTTACAATCGCCGCCGGATTGTTTGCAGAAGATAAACCCTAGAGTTAACGAAGACGAAAGCTCTCTCTCAAAATGTAAACCCAACCGGGGCACGTTCCTGCGTTGGAGGAAAGAGGGAAATCGTCTAGCGTAATTTTAGGTTTAATTCGGAAAGTTGGGCTTCAGCCCATAACCCGGCCCATGTTAAGCCCAAACTCTTGTTAACTCGGCCCACTTTGTAAATTAATCGAAATTTGGAAGGGACCGGTTTGGTCCGGTTTTTCCACTTTTAAATTTTGATTTTTTTGTTTACTTGAATTTTAAATTTTTATTTTTTTTTTATTTTTTACTTTTTGAACATATTTTTTTTGTGTTTTAAATTTGGTTAATTCCAAATTAATTGAAACTCTATGGTTTCTAATGAAAAATAAAAGGTTTTATTATTTTTAAATTTAATTTTCGTATATATTAATATATTTTTTAATCGACCTCTAAATTTAAAAAGCTTAAGTCGCCACGAGTTTGGATAAAATATAGAACCAAAAAGAAAAAAAAATTATTTTCATCCATTATTATATATATATATATATATATTATAAAATTAAATATATAACTTAATGTAAATTAAATTAAATAATTTCATTTAAATATTTTGTATTGTAATTTTTATGGCCATATTATTGTGGGTTAGTTTGAAAAAAATTAGAAAAACAAATGGCTAAAAGTACAAATTGGAATACTTTAAGGGTCGACTTCGAAATAAAAACATGAAAGAAATTTGTTAAGCATAAAATTGAAGGGTATATTTGATATAATCTAAAAATTGGAGGATTAAATTGTAAATTAATATATCTGTTTTATTTTAGTTAATTTTTCTAAGGTACGGAAGATTTTCTCCCGGCAAATTTTCGCAGTCTTGTTTCAAATGGGGGCCCAAATTCAGACAACCAATGGCTTTTCGTAACTACTTTCCTTGTTCGTCCCTGCATTTCCACGGGAGACCTGAAAACGGCGAAAAAGGCCGCCGAGGCTGGTTGAATTTCTGATTACGCATCTGAATTTTCTTCTTTTCTCCCCTACCGGACGCATTGGGGGAGAAATCCCGAGCAGATTCCATCTCCAATGGGGGCTCAAAAGGCGATGAAAGTTCTGAGCGAGAGAGCCGCACTTGTCCGAGAGTCGCTGCAGAAGAGTCAGGTTGTAACGGAGAGCATGGTCTCCATTCTTGGCTCCTTCGATCACCGTCTCTCCGCTCTCGAAACAGCTATGCGGCCTACTCAGGTGCTTTTTCTTGCTCTGTTGCTTAGCTTGAAGAATTTTGAAATGCATCGAACAGATATGTTTAATGAGCGAATTTCTTCATATGATGCGTAATGTGTGTGAATTTGTGTCGTTTTTATGATCCTGCTGTCTATTTGATGTTTCTTATGAGATCTGCTCGATGATGCGATGGTACGTTTGATTGATTTTAAGGAAACATGACAATTTCTGTTATTGTAATCTTTGCTTGTGTTTGCTTTTCTTTTTTCTTTGGTTAATTATTTATACTTCGTGATCTTGTTTTTTGACGCGATAGATCAGAACTCATTCAATTCGGAGGGCGCATGAGAATATCGACAAGACATTGAAGTATGCAGAAAGTATGCTAGCTCATTTTGATCTTACACGCAAGGTTGATATCTCTTACCTTCTCATTCTTGCTTGCTTATTAATCATTTTGTGGAAAGAAGAGGCACGGCTTTTAATTTGCTGCTTGTTGTTTATATTATATGCGTCTTGTTCTGTAGCAAGTGTAGTAAGTTGAAATAAGATGCATCATCCCCAAGCCACGTTCGTAATTCATGCCTCGCTACTGATTGGATTTGATTTTGACTTAGGTTTTGTGTTGAATTTATTTTTGTTTTACTTGGCGGATTCTTGCGTTTTGGAAATTTATATGAAATTGGAATTATAGCAGTAGCATTTCAGGGTGACTTCACGTCTCAGATTGTTTGGGTAAGAGACTGAACGGTGATGAAATCTTAACAGTTTCCATTTGCATCATCTGGACAGTTCTCTTCACCCTACCCCTCTTTGATTCAATTTCACTAAGTCTACAATTTGGAAGCCCAAATCATACGACTAATATAATCACCTGGAGATAAGAAGATGCCATCATGCTAGAGGCACACGTTGGACGAAAACAGTAGGAACTTCTTTAGATCTTTATTGTTAACATGGTGGGACGCAAAAGATGTAATTGAAGTAGTTGTGCGTCCTTCTCTTGTTCACACGGAGCCATATATTTACCTTTGTCTGGTGCTGTAGGCTTGTTCTCCTCCGGCTTCATCCCAAACAGAATTGGAGAAAGATCAGTCTTTGTTTCTATTGCTTTATTTCTTTCTTATCATACTATAGTGGGTTGGCAGCTGCTGTGCCTGGTGATAAATCCTAATTGTGTGCACCAAGGCGTAGGGACGAAAGGAAAAAGTAGCTGCCAATTGGTTGGCTTGGGCGCATTGCTATGTTGATAGCGGTGTTTTCACTTCTAAACAACAAGCCCCTCGATCGCCTCAAGGAAAGAGACGGCAGAAAATCTAGCCTTTTGAGAGAAGCGAGGCTATTAGAATCGATGCATTAGAAAAATAACGAGAAAATTACATTTTTCATCCTTAAGGTTTGACCTTAAATCACATTCGTATCTGATTTCTTTTTAGTCTCTCTGTCAGCTTTTCCTTCTCTTTTTCCTTCCTCTCCTTTCTATTTTTCCTTCCTTCAAATATGAACCTTAGATTTGTCTCTCTCTCTCTCGGCTTCCCTATCTTCTCTAACGACGTCGTTCCCTTCGGTAGTAAAGACTCGCGACGACAACAACTTCTTACGGCGACTACGAGCATCCGGATGGTGAGACCCACGTTTAACATCGGTGACCCGAATCAACTCACGTATGGAAAGCCACCAAATCAACTCACAAAACCAATGTCGTACAACATTGGGTCCTCCATAACTTTTGTCCTTTATCAGCGTTGTAAACGCGAGTTACGGCAAGACCCTCTTGGAAATCGAAGGGTCTCCTTCAATTTCGGAACAGATCTGGGACCTTCGATTACAGTTTTTCTTAATGTGGAGAAGAATGGAAGAAAGGATGAGAAAGAGGAAGAGGAAGAAGAAGAAGAAAAAAGAAAGAAGATGAAAAAGAAAATTACAGTAGTTGGTGGCCATTGATGTGAGGAAGGAGAGGAAGTAGAAGAATGGGGAAGGGAAGAGAGGGAAAGAGAAAAAAATGTCAAAAAGTACAATATTCTTTTCTAAAATATTGAAAAATAGGTTTGACATCAATTTACACCGAGTAATTATCGAAGAATTGACGGATGGACCAAAACGCAAAATTCTCTTTGGGAGTTAATTCTTTGGCTCCATATTTTCTTCTTTGAAAGCTATTATTGTCACCATTTTCAGTTTATACAACATGATTTTCTGTGTGCGTTGACATTGTTTCATTTGAAAAATATAGGCCGAGGCTAAAATACTCAGGGGGCCACATGAGGACTTGGAAATGTACTTGGAAGCAATTAGTCAACTTCGAAGCGCTAATCGCTACTTTACTGGGAACAAAATTTTCCGAAGTAACGAAGCTATTCTTACCCATACAAGCAACTTGCTTGCAAAAGCCATTTCAAAGCTGGAAGATGAGTTCAGACAGCTTTTAACAAATTACAGGTTTGTTTTTCTATTTTTTATGCTTTTAGTGGATAACTGTACATTGTTCACTGTTGTAACATTTTTTAAAAAATTTTATAATATTTGATTTGTTTTTCTTCAAGTAATCACCAATTTAAATAGACTTTGTTCTTTCTGTACTTAGAGCTATTCTTGTTCAGTTCGAGGCTTGAAAAGTTTGTTCGTGACAGAAAGGTTATAACAGATGTTTGCCTCCTCTTCTCTGACTTAAAGTAATAATCGCCTTGTGGACTAATGCTTGGTTAACATTCTTAACAATGCTTTTATTTTTCTCGGAGTTGTGGTCTCATAAAATAGATGTTCATTTTTTATATTTATATTAGAATGAAGATTCATTCTTTATTGACTTATTCTATCGATTAAATTCATATTGTTTATTGCTACTCTTTTTCATTTGGGAATTTAAATCTTATGTACTGAAATTATGAGTGAAAATAAGATCTCTTCTCCGGTTAGTAGTATGAAGTCGGCGGACAAAAGAGCATGAAATGATGTGAGAAAATGCTAGGACTCCAAACCCAGAAGAAAAAAAACATGATACTAAATATATTGTAATATCCAAGAAAAAAATTACTATATAATCATAGCTTTTGGAGAGGGTTGTCTCTCTTCCAGGTCCCACACTGAACAATCGACTAAATGGTCCACATCCGCTCCTTTTGAGGTTCCTAATACCCCTTATTTATAACCGAGGCACCTGTAACTAATTACCACTATTTCCTTACCACTAGCATACTAATATTCACTGCATGTCTCTAACTATTACTCTCACATTAAACCTTAGTTAAAAATAAATGTAAGAAAAAAAAAACATGTTAGCTAGAGGATCTTACTTGTTGAAATTTTTACCCATGATGAATGTGGTTTTAATGAGCATCTCGTTTATTCCTTAGGGGAAAGGAAGAGGGAGGAAATAGGAATCCAGGACTCCTTGCTATGGTCACCTTAATCCACCCTTAACATTTTATAATTATATTCCATCTTCAGGCTGTTACATTGAGCTTACAAAATTTTGTTATTCATATTTGCTGCCTTCCTGTCATAATTAGACCTGTATAAAAGCTAGGTTCTCGCTGACTTTTGACAATTGGCAAAGCCATTCTCTTAATAATACTTAAAAAAAATTTCTGCGTTGTACTATTAATTTATTTACAAGAACAATGAGTGTGGACCTTATCAAATTGTAGTAAGCCAGTGGAACCCGATCGTCTTTTCGATTGCCTCCCCAACTCCTTGCGTCCATCTTCAGCATCTTCGCAGCAAGGTGATGGTGGTAGCAAACATAATTCTGACAATCACAACAAAAGCTTAGAAGCTTCCATCTTCATTCCCCCAACTCTTATTCCTCCCAGGGTTCTTCCATTGTTGCATGATTTGGCCCAACAAATGATTCTGGCTGGCCATCAGCAGCAAGTCTATAGAATATACAGGTATCACCTTTTTCTAGCTTTCTGATGGTGTTTGACTAGTTAGCATTTTGAGTACTAGTTTATGCAATATGAGGGTTGTTTCTCCTGTAACTTTCTCTTCTAAGAAAGACTTGCCTTTTCCTTTGTGTAATATGCAAGTTGTAGGTTTCTAGATTTCGAAGAGTATATGTTATTTAATACGGTCTTCTTGATACTAAATTGCTGACTACCTACTCGAAATTCTGATACGTTACATGTCTATAGACTAAGTCATGAGTACTGGTTGTGAATGAGTCAGCCTATCGCCGTTTATTGTTCCAATATGCTTCATTGTTATGCTTGAGGAAACTTATTAACGAAGGCATGATAAAATGTTTAAACAGCGTTTTGATGCTTCTTATGCGTCTTACTTTCTTATTCAGCCCTTCAAAATATGGATCAATGGAATAAATTACTTATTTTGATCAGGGAGACTCGCGCTGCAGTTTTAGAACAGAGTCTTAGGAAATTAGGTGTTGAGAGGCTTAGCAAGGACGATGTCCAGAAAATGCAGTGGGAGGCCCTTGAAGCTAAGATTGGGAACTGGATACATTACGTGCGCATTGCTGTAAGGATATGCCATATTTGGTTGTGGTTATTTAATATTTTTATTCTACAGTCCTATGTTAATTGTTTTCCCAACTTTTCGATACTGCTTGAAAAAGGTCAAACTGCTGTTTACTGGGGAAAGGAAAATCTGTGATCAAATATTTGATAGTGCAGACGCTCTCGTGGATCAATGCTTCGCAGATGTGACATCAAATAATGTGTCAATGCTACTAAGTTTTGGAGACGCAATTGCCAAAAGCAAGAGGTCTCCAGAAAAATTGTTTGTTCTTCTAGACATGTTTGAAATAATGCGAGAACTGCAATCTGAGGTACAACTTTATCCGTTTGTATTTTTCTTTTGTCGAAGTTTAATTTCGGACTGGAGAAATGGATGACACCTTATGACTTCTCTTTCAAATGCCTAGACCGTAAGCAATTAACTTTTTCTTCCAAATATGGGACGTTACTTCTAATATTTTCAAGTTTATGATGTCTCGGTTTATGTCTATATTTATACTTACATCTAGAGTCGGTCTAAGGAGCGAAACATTTGGATTTCCTTTAAATCTTCTCTAATCTTATAAAATGCCCAAATGATCCTCTTTATATTTATTATATATTTAAAATTAGAAACTATCTTCATAAACTTTCAATTCACTCTCTAGAATCTCGTGAGAACTATTGGAATTTGAATATGGGTGACTTATTAAATACTGAATTTGCTAGAGAAAATCGATGTTACTTAAATTTTTATGCTTCTGTATGTGAGAAGACCAAAAACATGTTTCCACAAGTGCAACTTGCTAACACTATTATGTACTCTTTTTCCTTTTATTTTCGTTTGACGGTGTGCTAAGAGCAGATTGAAACACTTTTTGGAAGTAAAGCATGCATTGAAATGCGTGATTCTGCATTGAGCTTAACACAACGCCTTGCCGAGACAGCTCAAGAGACTTTTGTTGATTTTGAAGAAGCAGTAGAAAAGGATGCCACAAAAACTGCTGTTCTTGATGGGACTGTTCATCCCTTGACCAGTTATGTGATAAACTACGTGAAGTTTTTATTTGAGTAAGTTATACTTTCTGTGGCTTCCACTTCAATATTTCTCGTCATAGTTTTTTCCCAAAAAAAACTGTGACCCACACCCCTTGCATACCATACAACAACACCTGCATTATATCTTCTCCAAGATGTTGCTTGTAAGTGCATGCTCTTACTCATTCATCTTAACATTTTATGTTATTACCTCAAACTACTGCCTATTTTTTCTGCTCTAAAAATATTTTGTTTTTAATTCATAGATGATCTCCAAAAAGACTTCTCTGGCTCTCTTTTTCTCCGTTTTTTTCCCACCCTTCTTATTGTTGGGTCCTTCGAACATAAGAAATGATTTTTGATACAATGAAATTCCTTCAATCACTCTCTTATTTTATGCTCTCCGTGAACGATGTATTTTCTTAATCTACGTCCTCAAAATGCAGGGGATTGGAGAATGTTTTTGGTTATTGCTTATGTTCAGTTACCACAATTTTATTAAAATTATTAATATTTTATAAATCCATCCTTATGGCTGGTTCCCAACTTTTCATATGATCTCCTGAAGTTGTCTATCCATTGTTTTTATATCCTATTCCAGACCTATAGCTACAAAACTATGTTTCTCATAAACAACATAAAATGTACAGCTACAAATCTACTTTGAAGCAACTATTCCAAGACTTCGAGGCTGTTGATCCAGATGCTCAGTTAGCAGTGATAACTACAAGAATTACGCAGGCACTTCAGACTAATCTTGACGGAAAATCTAAGCAATATAAGGATCCTGCATTAACTCAATTATTTCTGATGAACAATATTCACTATATAGTGAGATCTGTCCGTAGGTGCGTCTTATATTTGGCTTGTATGTCAAAAGATTAGGATCTATCATATTTGTAATAGTTCGTTCTATTGAGTTTTCAGATCGGAGGCAAAGGATTTGTTGGGTGATGACTGGGTGCAGATACATCGAAGGATTGTGCAGCAGCATGCAAATCAATACAAAAGGATTTCTTGGGCCAAGGTTTGGTTCACTCAACTCTTTCTAAGGGAATTCTCTCTCAATCTCTTCATTATTGAATCTATTTCAGCACTCAGACTGTTGCCCCAGAGTTCATAACTGTTATGCCCCGTTGCCTAAATATGTTAAAAACTTTTCTTCTTATATTACAAATGTTCATGTGAAATGAATACATCTTTCAATCTTTAACTTCTAGTTTTTCTCTTCTAATGCTGACCATAGGTCAGTCTAAGAGAAAAAGTTAAGAGGAAGTCCTATCCTTACTGGCATTTCTTGACAAAAAAAATTGTAATTCTTATTATGTATTCAACTATGTGCATCTTCTTTACTAAGAGAAAAAAAGAAGGAAAAATAAAATTGTGTTTGATTAGCCTCAGGACCTTCTTGTTTAAGGACTTCATTGGCATATTCTATCGTACCTTTTTAAGCAATTCATTGAGGTATCAGTCTGTTGATTTCTCTTGGTAATCAAAATAATTGTGCTCCAATCGGCGAATATTTCACTATATTCTTCATTTTTCCTTGGAACATCGTCTGGAGCCGGCTCATAAATATGATCTCTCTCATTTACATTAGGTTGGGTCAAATAACGATCACAGCTCACATTTTTCATTGTACAATATCATTTCATAATGTCGAAGGGAACCTTTAAATGCCAATTGTGAAACTTTTCTAGGGAATGTGGAGATTATGGGTAACATATTAGACTTTTCTCTCAGTATTCGCTATCTAAGTTCTTAGAAAACCAAGAGCTTAGTTGGAAGGTCAGCATACTAAGGTCTTTGTTCCTGTTAGCAGATTTTGCAGTGCCTCACCGTTCAGGCCTCAGGCAGTGGTGGTGCTTCGGCAGATGCAACCTGTGGACTCTCGAAAGCTATGGTGAAAGATAGGTTTAAGACTTTCAATATCCAATTTGAGGAGCTTCATCAGCGGCAGTCTCAATGGACAGTTCCTGACAGTGAGTTGCGGGAGTCATTGAGGTTGGCAGTCGCTGAAGTATTATTGCCTGCCTACCGATCCTTCATCAAGCGTTTCGGGCACGTCCTCATTACTGAACTTTAAATTTTTTTTTAAAAAATTAACATATAAAATTGCGTGTATTTACTTACATTGCTTATGCAACAGGCCTATGGTTGACAATGGGAAAACTGGTCTTCAAAGAAGCATCAAATATACACCTGAGGATCTTGAGCGTATGCTAAATGAATTCTTTGAGGGCAAGACATTCGGTGAACAAAAGCGCTAGTAGCGTCTCAAAATGCTCTGTACATGGACAAGTTAGAGCAGGTACTTCCCCGTTCTCCCTTATTCTTCTCTTCTCTACAATCTGTATCATTAGATTCTTTCATCCATTTGTGGATATTTTCCATATTTACATGCTCCTAGTGCAGTTGCGAGCAATATGATAAGTCCTCCCTGTTGCAGGCACCCAGATTTTTTTCTTCATGGTCTCATTGTGTATTTGTCAATTTGCTTTCTCGAGCTCGTCTTTACCTTCTAGCATATAGTAGTATATAGGAAAATATAACCCTCTACAATGGTATGATATTGTCCACTTTGAATATAAACTCTCATGGTTTTGCTTTGGGTTTCTCCAAAATATCTCGTGGAGATATATTTCTTAGTTATAAATCCATGATCATTCCCTAAATTAGCCAACGTGGGACTTCCTTCCAACAATCCTCGACTAGAATTTTTCAAACCCATATTAGAATTAATAATTTATGTCAATGTAGAAGAAAAATCCAAACGCATGAGCTCGGCCGCACTTTCTCCAGGCCTCTTGTACTAAAGGGACAAAAACTTACAAATTTTATAGTATGGCTGAAGGTTATGGAAGACTTGTAGCATCAAACTAAATAAGATATTACGATGCATCCCCCTCTCCTGCTATGCAGAACTGTTAACTTTCAATGGATCCTATCCAATATGCTTGGTCATTTCCAATTCTAGATCATAGTAGTATGCAATGCTTTTTTTAATATTTTCCAGTAAAAACAAAACTTTCCAAATTTCCACTAAAACTTTCCTCTCCACACTTGTCCTTCTGACAGGAAGAACTTTTCTATTGTTCCTACGAGTAAGGATTAAGAGGCGGCGTCTATGCACGATTTGGGCTTTCTTTCCCTTCTCCTTGTAGTATTCATTTTATTTATTAATTGTTAATATGATTTTGCCAAAGGGCCATTAAAACCACATGAGGAGGCCATGGCTGGCTTTGGTGCGCACCTTAACCACTTAAAGTACACCAAGGTATGTATTTTTTTATCATTTATATGGAATTTTCCTTGTATTTGGAAGAACAAACGTAGATTAAATTGAGCCTTCCTTCTGGTTGGTCCCTCTGATGATTCTTTGATGCACCTCAATTGTTTAGGTAGTACATGAGGAAGTATATTTTATGACTTCTCAATCATAGAGGAATGTGAAAGAAAATGTGACTATTCCATTGTATTTATTCCAAAGTGATTTCGATCCTTCTAAAATTATTACAGAATATGTACTTGATACAATTTTGTAGGTTTTATAAATTGATTGAAGACGCCATGGACTTGGCAGTCTTTTTTCATACACATTGTTTTAATGGCTTTACTTTTGTCTTCCAGAATACTTCATACTAATAGGGATGATCTATTTCATTTGTATCCACGTGATATTCTTTTTAACTAACCATTTTGGTTACACCAGTGCAAATCTCATTCTCTTTATTTGCAAATATAATCAGTTTTGAAAAATAAAAATGTTGAATTATTGAAAATGAAGGTAAGAGCCCATAATTATTGAATATGCATGATTAATGGTATATTTTACCAAATTATTTTATAATGGAAAATAATTATTGAATTAAGATTGTAAGCAGCATTTAATAATTACTAAAGACAATTTAATGAAGTGTGTATTTATATTGTAAATTCAATAAATAATTATTATTTGTTTTTTGTCCAACAAAATGGAGATTCTTTCTGGTTGATAAATTTGTGATGGCTCAATCTCAAGTTTTTTTTTTTTTTTTTTTTTTTTTTTTTTTCTATTTTGCCATTTTCTTCTTTGGAATTATCCAATTATGAGAATTTCTAAACCCTCCAAAGGTTTCGCTTTTTCAACTTTGACGTTTTTCTCATTTCGCCTGCCTTGCCAGCGCGTGAAAAACAAGCGCTTTTGGCTGAATTCAGAAAGCAAACGGCGCCGTTTCAAGGAAAGACAACGCCTTTGTCAATCCATTTACTTTTGAGGGGTACTTAATAAATGTTTTTTTTTCCTCTTTTATATGATATTAGTTTTGTATAATTAAAATGCATTAATTAATAAACTCTTCAACAATTAGATGTATAATTTTAATTTAATAAATAATTTTAAATTTTAAATTTTTTGTAATAATTTTTAATTAAATAAATAGATTTAATAGATCTAGTGGTTTCAATTACATCAATTTAATATTTTTTTTACAAATAAAATGAAAATCATATTTGTTCCTAATAATTTTTTTTAATTAGTCAATTTCTAGCCTTTTAAATTTAAAAAAATGTATAAGACTTTTAAAATTTTAAATCTGATCATTCATAAATTAGAATAACTCTAAAAAAAACTTTTCTTCATAAATTTATAAGCATATGAAAATATTTTTTTTATTTTAAAATAAAATTTATTAAAAGATAAAATAAAAAAGCAATGTTAAGTACCTGAGTTTATAATATAATTTGATAAAATTAAAAGTTTAATACAATACAACTTCAGTAAAATTTGATTTTTTTTTCCATTTTATAAATTAAACTTTGTTAAATATATTTTTAATCAATCACTATGTTATTATAAAACAACGTGCTAACTACAAAAATAAATTTTAATTAATTACTTTTAATACAAAAGATAAATTTATTCAAAATAAATATGAATATTAATAATAATTTTAAAATATTAACCATTTTGATTTTTACTATTTTTTTAACAAACCAATAATATAGATTTGACACAGACTAATAGCTAAGATAGAGTTATTATTTTTTCAAATGTATAAATATTGTAAGAGTATGTGACCCAAAATAAAATTTTACATTTTCTTTATATATAATTTATAATTTTGTCGGTTAATTTGCACTGGCTTTCCAATTTCTGGAACGTCTCTCCTACTTGGTCAAGTCTTACTCTAAAAACCACACAAAAATATTAATAAATATATTTTCAATTATATTAAAATAATATTTTCTTTTTTTCAAAAGATAATTTACCAAAAAAAACATTTATAAATTTAAATGTTAATATAAAAATATATGTGAAAATGAAAATTACTTAAAATTCTTATATATATACACATTATTTTGTCACATTAATGTAAAACTTTTTCTAAGTTATTCTAATTATAATTTAAAAATAATAATCATAAACCATCTATAAATATCATTATCCTTAATTTTATGTCTAAGTTTAAAATGATACATTAAATTATCAAAATTAATAATTAGATTCTAAATTTCCTTATTAAATATTAAAAAGTATTTTTTTAAAACTGTTTTTATTTTCTCATAATTTTCTACCATATTTTTCATCATTTTGTATTTCTTTAAAAAAAAAATTTTAATAATTTTTTGCAAATTATTAGTTTAAAAAGTATATTAAAAAAAGAGATATTTTTGAACATGTGAACGAAATAAAAAGGGAGAATTAATTAAGACATAATTCGGGTCATTGTCTTGATTTTTTTCATTAAAAAATAACAAATAAAAAAAATAATCGAACGGCCATAAAGATCGAAGTCGTGGTTATGAATATGACTTATTGTATTACTATAAACTCAATTTATATATATATATAAAAGAATTTTCTTTTTATCCTTAAACTTTATAAATATAGGTCGAGGAAAATACCAAATTTACTAAAGGAAAATTAAACGTCTCAATCAATTTAATATACTCTTTGTATTAGTGAATGATTAATACTCGAGCAACTTATACGACAGTAGAAAGTAACGAGCTAGAGCTATCATTTTAGAGAGTATGAAAGCTTCACTGTACATGTACTTTTTCAAGTGTCGTAGTTTCCAAGCTTCTACGAGAGTTTGGATAAGCATTAGGGTTTTCATCGGACCCGTTCATTAAATAGAGGCTTTAGTATTGAAAATGAAGTCCACCTATATCGTTGAATTCAAGCTCTATACATCGAGACCATTCATTCTATTATAGTTAAAACTCGTTAGGGTATAGAGAAATAGACGTGTTTTTCGACTTTGTTTAAAGTGGAACGTGAAAATACATACGTAACTCTATGACTTTATATTTTTACAAAATTAATTCTAAAATATTTAAATCAAGTCCCGTTGTATTCGTACTCTTAAATTATTTGATCCACCGACTTTAAAAATATGCATTTAATTGGCGGTCAATTTATCATAACTTAATACGAAGCTATATGATATGTTTACTCTTTTATAAATATCTATATGTATAAACAAGTGTTAAATGTTCAAAAAAATTTAATGACCTGAAAAATCTTGATCAACCAAACATAACTCATACAGGGTTTGGTTGAGTTAGTTCATAGATTTTTCTAAAATTAATTTAGGTTGAACCGAACTAACTCGACCTTATTGTCAATTATATATATATATATACACGCATACGCATTTATATTAATTTTATAACTTTTTATCCGACAATTTTTTAAAATAAAATTTTAAGTGTATATATAATAATTTTAAAATATATATATTAAATTTGAGCCGTAAATACATATAATAAAATTAAAATTTAAAAGGTATTGGATTTATATATATATATAAAATAAAATTTAAATTTAAAAGGTCGGGGATTTATATATATGGTTAACGAACGGCTTCAAAATTAACCACCTCCTTCTCCCTCTATCTTCGACGAATTTCAATCACAAACACCAATCCACGGCCAGCGCCGCCGCCGCCGCCGCCGACAAAATGTCAAAGGACTGCCCTAACCACGACAAGAAACGGCCGAAGTTAATCCGGCGAATCTACGCCGGAATCCTTATTTTCTTCTTTCTCGTCCTCCTTACAATCCTCTTAATTTGGGCCATTCTTCAGCCCACAAAGCCCAAATTCGTTATCCAAGATGCCACCGTCTTCCTCTTCAACGTCTCAGCCGCAAACTTCCTCTCCTCCAGCATTCAGGTCACCGTATCCTCCCGGAACCCTAACGACAACATCGGAATCTACTACGACCGCCTCGACGTCTTCGCCGTCTACCGGAACCAACAGATCACTCTCCGTACCGTCATTCAACCTTCCTTCCAAGACGAAAACGAACTCAACATCTGGTCTCCTTTCCTCGTCGGCGACGACGTTCCGATCTCTCCGTACAACGGAGCCGCTCTCTACCAGGACCAGTCCTTCGGCACCGTCGTCTTGTCGATCAAACTCGACGGCTACGTCCGATTCAAAGTCGGCACGTTCATCTCCGGCCGCTACCATCTCAACGTCGACTGTCCGGCGGTAATCATGTTCCGAAATCCAACCGCCGGTATCGTCGTCGGTAATAACGCTGTTAAGTACCAATTGGTTCGCTCGTGTAGCGTCAGTGTATAAGCTCCTCTGTTGCCGCCGTCAGAATTATTGCTCTCCGTTCTCTCTCTCCTTCACGCCGTTAGTTTCCTCTCTCTCCTGATGTCTATTTTCATTTTGGTTTTCGATTTTTCAAAATTCTGAATTATACTTTTAATATTTTAAAATTTTCAATTAAATTCTTCATTAAAAAAAAAAACATTAAATTGTTATTTTATTAACTATAAAACAACAATTTTATGTTAAATTTTTTTAGCATGAATTTAATTGAAAGCTTTTAATATATTAAAATTAAAATTGGGAATTTCAAAAAATCAAGCACCAATTTAGTTTTTTTTCTTTTAATTTTAATTATAAATATAAAGAGTTGTGAACTGTAAATTTTCGTAAGAATAAAAATAAAATAATAATAATAATAATAATATTTATGTGAAATTTGTAAAGAGAGCAAAAATTGAGTAGTGGGTGGCAATTTGTGTAATTTTGTGTTAAAGTTGTATTTATAATGGAAATTTAAATATAGTGTTTATTAATGTCTGTGCATATATCTCTTGACCGTCACCATTTTGCGTGACCTTCCCACGTTCTCGTGTCATTTTCTTTTCATTTCTTTATTTTATACTTTTAAAAAAAATATTTTTAATTTACCCTTTATAATTTTTAACAAATTATAATTTAATTATGTAGTTTATAATTAATCTCAATAATGTGATAAAAATATCATGATTTAAAAGCTTAAATTGATTTTAAATTTGTGTTTAATAAATTATCAGAAAACTAATTTTTTTGTTTTTTTTTATCTAATATGTTTTTTAAT